TAGGTCTCCCCTAAGATGCCTTTTATTGTTCCTGTGTGTTATTAGTGGGTCTTTTATTAACAAGAAAAAAAACCAAACACATAATTTCCCCTTTTTGGTGAAAGAGTGCTTTAATGGAGAATAAGAAAATTAGATGATTGCATTTTTCATATATTAATTTCCCCCAAGTGATTTTACTGTGTGTATAAAGGAAATTCGGGGCCAGCCAGGGAATGTCTGAGGGCAGGGCTGCCTAGAGCAGGGAAATGTGTGGATTTTTCTTATGGAGAGGAACATTTAAAGATTTATTTTGGGTGGTACACCCTTTGTCATTTATTAATTTTTTAATGGCCAAAGTACTTAATTTTGTGTTGCTGACGCAGGTTTTTGGGCAGCATGGAATGTTTCCCTTTATTATTAAATATAAGGTTGCCTGTTCAGAATGGGTGACCACTTAGTAAAAATTGTACGTGGGGCCAGTAGCGTTCAAGTCAAACAAGTTTATGTTTTGATGTAGGACGGGAGAATGGGTGTTCACCACAACGTGAAGGATTTATCAAGGAATCTGGGAAACATTCTCACTGTTGGAACTTGAAAAGCCTCCCTCACGTCCGGCCTCTTTCTTCATGGTGTGGGAGCAACAGGTCAGGTGTTGCCTGAGGCAGCCTTACAAATCGGCACCTGCCTTTGTGCCTAGACCCGAAGGAAGTGGTGGGGAAAGGAGACCAGGGAAATTTAATAAGTCTGTGCCATTTTCCTCAACCCCTTTCAGAGTTAGCTTCCCTTGGGCATTGGGCTTTAACGCCGGACGTGTGAGAGAGGCAAGGGGCACCTAGTGTCTAGGGAGGAGCCGTGGGCTGCCAAAGATGCCCAAGCAGGTGCCGGGAAAGGCAGGGACCACAGACCTCCTCATCCCCACCGGCCCTCACACTTGCACCGGACTTGATACTTTACCCGGGACTTTGTAATTATTTCCTCATGGATTCCCAAACCCCTGTGCCCCTGTCTGCCCCAAAGAAGGCAACCTTCGGCCGGCCTTTTTGATGGAAGAGGAAGATTTCACCTTTAACTCTCCTTGGTGCTTCTTGATCGCCTGGCCATACAGCCCCAGCAGATGGTACCTCTGTTAGGCCCCAGGGCCCCTTCGCAACTCACTCGGTGGAGAGGAGAGTTTTTAAATGTTTCACTTGTGGACAAAGACATCCCTGCCTCTGTGGAGCAGAGATGGTGGCTGTTCCACAAACTATCTTTCTTCTTCCACTCTTCTCTTCTCTTCCTTCCCCCCCCCCCCCAGATAATCAGAAACCCAAAACCTCTTAACAGGGTCTCACCTTGGCTCCAGCACGTGTAACTTATCTGACAACATGGTCTGATCCCTGGTATAAAAAAAGATAACAAATTCCTGACCGTTTTTTCCTTTCGTGTTTCACAGTATCGCTCCACCTTTTCCTTCGATGGGTTTTGTTTGTTCATCGTGTTTTGATCAAGTCATTTTTCTTCTTAAGTCATCTGGAACTGTTTTCAAGATCTCTTAAAGCACACTACACCTCTTGTTAGGCTCTTGTTCTCACAGTGATACGTGGCTTATTGCCATGATTTCAGGAAAGCAGAGTTCCTTCTCAGGGAAACCCAGCTGCTTCTTCACTTTGCCTTATTCTTCTGTGTCAGAGTAAGGGATGTTTCTAATTTCAGATCACATATCAGTGTATCCCAAGCCTCTCATTTCTCTCTTTAGTTGTGGTGTGTTCTATGGGAGTTGGCAAAGCCAAATCTGTGTCACCAGGAGTGTGTCTTGGGCCCTAACTAACAGCCAAAGCGTTTTGTTGTTTTCTAAATTAAATCAGATGTAGTTTCTGGCTCTCGGTTGTTTACACTCTGAAGTAGGCAACAGTGATCTAGACAGATATAAGAGCATGAAGAGATCTCAGAATAGCGTTGAGGAGGTGGAGACAGTGTGATGTGTGCATGCTCAATTGTGTCCAACTCTGCGACCTCATGGACAGGCTCCTCTGTCCATGGGATTCTCTAGGCAAGAATACTAGAGTAGGTTGCCGTTTTCGCCTCCAGGGAACTTCCTGACCCAGGGATTGAACCCTTGTCCCTTAAGTCTCCTGCATTGGCAGATGGGTTCTTTACCACATTGCCCCCAGGGAAGGCCAGACAGTGTGGAGCCGTGTGGAATCCACTCCTTGTCTGTTTTCTACTTACTTTGAAAGACTGGTGTTTGGGTTTAAATGAATGAAGAGGAGGTATGTAAGAGCTCGATGTGCCTAGCTTAACAGTCATCAAAGAAGATGCAGAGTGATAGGTGTGCCTTGATTGATCAGGTGAATGAGGCATTGAGGACCTTTCACTGAGGGGAATCGGGCTTCCCAGGAGAGGAACATGGGAGAGGGAATCCATTGCAAAGCGAATCGGGCTTCCCAGGAGAGGAACATGGGAGAGGGAATCCATTGCAAAGCTTCGACAAAGGTGAGAACACCGGCTTGCACCCACAGGACAGCCAAGAGCATGATAACAGTGGAGTTTTGGAAACAGCATATAGAAAAGAAATGCAGGCATTTCAGCTAAAGATATGTTAGACCATGTCACCCCCTCACTCTCCCACAGAAAAGAAAGCCAAAAAACCAGATAGCATGAGTTGAAGGAGAAGAAAAGGCATAAATGAACCACAGAAACATGATCGCAAATGTGGAATGGTTGTTAATGTTACTTTTGAAGGTGGTGCTCCAAAACATATATGGTAGTTGCAGTGTTTATCTCTTGTTGTTGAAAATTAAGGGCAATTTAAATTGTTAATATTCTCCTGTATTGTCTGTGATCAGCACTTAATATTTTATAATCAGAGAGGAAAATATGTTAAAGGGAAAATATTACAAGTAATATTACCAGAGCATATAGACTAAAGTTCTATAGATGCAAAGATTTGGGAGATGAGGTCAATGGTTAAAAACTAATAGATTAGTAAAAAGCAAGTTTCGTGTGAGGAGGAGTGATATCGCTCTAAACAATTGCTCTAAAGTGACGTGTTTAGGAAGTCAATAAAATGGCAGTGTTTTGTTTTGCTTTCTTTTAAGATACTGAGGGAGTCAAACATGAAGTTTTTAACTGATCTTAATTTCAGATGGCCACTTGGTATCTAATTTGAATGTTTCCTGGACAGACTCTCCTTGTGAGCAAATGGGGAAGAGAACTTACAGACAGGTTTGGAGGCAAAATAGGGAAGAGGACGTGAAAATACACAAGCAAATGAGTAACGGTATTACCCCTACACAGGAACTCTCCGGATTATAACCTTTAAAAAACAGCTCGTTAGGAAAGGACTGAATGCTGCATGGATGCTGGTGTTATAGTGTACTTTTTCCTCTTGGAAAAAACTGGGCGAGATGGCAAAAACTCGAGCATCCTGGATTTTGGACCCGTCTCTGGCACTGCCTCCAAGGAAGTCCCTTGAGCAAGTCAACAGCAAGGCCCCTAATAAGGGTGTGATTGATAGGTTAACTGTCCTGGGCATCATTTTGCACATGTATAAAACGAGGAATTTGGCTGTGGTAAATTCTGTGGTTCTTCTTTTCAGTCAGTCACTTAACAGGTTGGGGGTTAAGAGAGGTGTGGGCTGATTGGCCGTATGTGATAGAGACATGTCCTTTATTTATTTATCTAGAATATATGTACTCACAGTGGACAGAGGCAGCTTATTAACACATCCATGGGTGAGCTGGTTGAAGAACAGCCAACATGACAGAATCCAGATTCCAAGCATTTGTTCCAGTTGGAAGGATGGGCCAAACTAGGATGAAGTTTAATAGGATTAAACATAAAGCCCTGCTTATGTTACTTGTTTAGGGCAATCAATTAAGTTACAGTAGACCTACGTTAATAGCAGTCCCTATGAAAAAGACTCAGGGTTTTATTACCCACAAGCTCAGTGTGAGTCAGGAGTGTAATTCGGGTGTCACAGAAGGAAAGGCTATGATAACAGATGTGTAGTGTTAAGGAGCTTTGACAGATTGAAGCCTGGCATCAGGCAAATAGCCGAGATCCAACATCACTAGACCTCAATAAATGTCACTGGGCTTGGCTAGATCTGTGGAATCGAACAGATTCATTCCTGTCTTTGAAGAATCTCTCAATTTGGTGAAAATTTTTAGGTATTAGAAATCTGTGAAAGAAATGGTGTTGAAAAGGGGGGCTTCCTTCCCATTTAGCCTACCTAAAACCCATTATATGTCTTGCAGTTTTCGGAAGAATTTTATATCATATTTCTGGGCATGCATCAATTTTCAAGGCCTCCCCCTGGCATTATTTTGGCACTAGAAATGATTTGGTGAAGACCTTGCCTTAGCTGCTAATTGTTCTACACAGAGCTCTTAAATGTACAGGAATTATTATAAACATTTTAAGGTTTTAGTACAGGCATTTATCAACATTTCGTAGACCCTGGAGAGTAGAGTAAGTACATGAATAAATTGGGGGATCCATGAACCCCTTGAAAAGGTATATAATTTTATACATATGTGTAATTTTTTCTGGGAAAAAATCCAACACTTTCATGAGAGTCTCAAAAACAATACAAAAAACAGCCCCCTTCCCCTGCCACCTCTATAATTTGCCCCCTTCCAGGTGTCTTAACGAAGAGGCATCTTGATTGTTGCTGCCTGCCTTCTGAGAACAAATCCTCCTTGAAATGTGAGTGACCTGCCATCAGTTAGGGATTTACAAGGATGTTGCAGGCAGGGTTCCAAAACGGTTTTCACCAAAATCTTACCATTAGAATGAGGAAGAACTCTCCCCTCTTGCTCATACCATGCAATAAAATGCTTTATTTTAAACTACAAAATTCCAACGTATTACTTGCAGAATCCAGGTTATATATACTTTTTTCCATTCCCCTTTCAGCTTGTAAGTACACATTTGGTCTTCTCCAGGAATATTTTGTTCTGAGGGAAGTTCCAGAGAAGCTTGATCTTCTCAATGGGATATGTGTTTCATGTGGTTTCTCTTCCTTTTCAAACGCACAGGGTGCCAAAGCTTGCTTTCTGCGGGACATTCCTTTCTCGGCCATCTACTTTCCGTGCTACGCTCATGTGAAGGCAGCCCTTGCAAGCGAAGATGGGCAGATTAGCCCTGGAAGTCTGCTCTTAGCTGGCGCCATAGCTGGTGAGTGTCCCTGGAGCTCTGCCCCCACCCAGGCCCCTGGGCCGGGGTCTTTGCTTACGGTTATTGATGTGAGATGGCCAGAGATTGCTTTGAAGCGCTCCTGAAAAGAAAGGGAAAGAAATGACTCTTACTTCTGGCAGATCTGGCTATTAGACAAACTTAATTTGTGAACTACCTCCCCGCCAACCACCACCACCCAAAAAAACAAACAAACAAAAAGGGCTCGTTAAAAATTGGTGCATTTTGTAACACTGTCAGATTCCAATTCAAGCTCCTGTCCTTTCTTAGTTTCACTTACTACTATAAGAACAAGAACTATTCAGGCAAACTTTTAAGTGTTAAAAGTGCCTTAAGGTGTCTAACCGAAATAATACATAAAAGCTCGTCCAGGAAATTTAAGCAATAGTTACTCTCATCCAGAGAAAAGAAATGTAGCAGGACTGGAAGCAGCTTGGGTCTGATTCCAGCTAGCTGTGTAAGGTTGTAAGATTGGCGTGTGTGCATGTGCTGAATCTCAGCGAGAAGTGACTGTCTTCTCTAGTGCTACAGGGCAAGTATGAAAGGAAGAAAACCGATACGAAAGTTGGCTTTTCCATTCCCGATGTAAATCCCTTGAGGAAATTTGGCTATAGCCCCATCAGGAATGACTGTGCTCTTTGAGGCTGCTCCTTGTTTAGAGACCCTAAGAGTAGAACAATCTGGATTAACTCCCCAGGTGGTGACAAACATTTAATGAGTTAACAGACCCTAAGGCAGTCAGGGGGTGCCTGACTTCAAAGTTTCCACACAAGTGGTGTTCTCCTCAGACATGTGGCTCGCCTCTCTTGAGACCTGCCCCCTGCTTTGAGAAACTTTTTCCTGTTTTGTGAGCCCCTATGTCCTGCCTGTGCCTGAGGAGCCCTGGAGGCAGGAACCTGTGGAATTTTAAATTCTTACTCTTTAAATTCTTACTATTCTGTTCTGTGCTGTGCTCAGTCATGTCCGTCTTGAACCCACGTCTCCTGCATTGCAGGCAAATTCTTTACCATCTGAGCCACAAGCTCATTAAGTGAAGGAGTTAGTGGCTCAGTTGTGTCCAACTCTTCATGACCCATTGGGCTGTAGCCTATCAGGCTCTCTGTCCATAGGATTTTCCAGGTAAGACTACTGGAGTGCGTTGCCATTTCCTTCTCCAGGGTATCTTCCTGACCCAGGGATCAAACACGGGTAACCTGCAATGCAGGCAGATTCTTTACCTTCTGGGTCACCAGGGAAGCCTTAAATTCTTGGTTAATCATTTTTCTTCAAAGATGGTAATGTTAGTGTATGAGGCAGGGTTGTCCTTTCCTGGCAGCTCAGGGAGCCTGTTTATATGAATCCACAATGAGATTACTCTACCTACATCAGAAAATCATGATTTTATAACTAGAGCATAGAATTCCCAGTTTTAATGCCAGTTTGGCCATTGACTCACTGTCTCCTTTATATGTCATTTACAGATGTAAAAATTATAAGGTTTTGAGCCCAAAGGTTATAATACCATTTATTTCAAATCACTTACCCAAAATAAGTGAAAAACTTACCAGCTTACCAGTAGGACCTACTGGGGAGAACTAGCATACCACTTAGAATTCACCTGCCAATGCAGGAGACAAGGGTTCAATCCCTGCTTTGGGAAGATCCCCTGGAGAAGAAGATGGCAACCCACTCCAGTATTCTTGCCTGGGGAATCCCATGGACAGAGGAGCCTGGCGGGATACAGTCCCTGGCGTCCCCAAAGAGTGGGACACGATTTATAGATTAAACAACAACAACAAATCCATTATTCTATGACCCTAAAATAATCATCATTTAACATTTTGCTGATTTCTCCCCCTTGGGTGGTTTTTAACAGGGTTGTGATCACACTGTGGGTATGCTGTTCACTTACTATCATTTCTGAAGCATTGTTCACCATCATGGAAAAATGAAAAAAGGCAGGTGCTGTAGGGTCAGGCTATCAGTTCAGTTCAGTTCAGTTCAGTTGCTCAGTCATGTCTGACTCTTTGTGACCCCATGAACCGCAGCACGCCAGGTCTCCCTGTCCATCACCAACTCCCAGAGTCCACCCAAACCCATGTCCATTGAGTTGGTGATGCCATCAAACCATCTATCCTCTGTCGTCCCCTTCTCCTCTCACCTTCAATCTTTCCCAGCATCAGGGTCTTTTCAAATGAGTCAGCTCTTCACATCACGTGACCAAAGTATTGGAGTTTCAGCTTCAGCACCAGTCCTTCCAAAGAAAACCCAGGACTGATCTCCTTGAAGTCCAAGGGACTCTCAAGAGTCTTCTCCAACACATAGTTCAAAAGCATCAATTCTTCTGCACTCAGCTTTCTTTATAGTCCAACTCCACATCTATACATGACCACTGGAAAAACCATAGCCCTGACTAGATGGACCTTTGTTGACAAAGGTCTCTGCTTTTTAATATGCTGTCTAGGTTGGTCACAACTTTCCTTCCAAGGAGTAAGTGTCTTTTAATTTCATGGCAGCAACCACTATCTGCCCAGAAAAATAAAGTCAGCCACTATTTCCACTGTTGCCCCTTCTATCTGCCCTGAAGCGATGGGACTGGATGCCATGATCTTAGTGTTCTGAATGTTGAGCTTTAAGTCAACTTTTTGACTCTCCTCTTTCACTTTCATCAAGAGGCCCTTTAGTTCTTCTTCACTTTCTGCCATAAGGGTGGTGTCATCTGCATATCTGAGGTTATTGATATTTCTCCTGGCAATCTTGATTCCAGCTGTGCTTCCTCTAGCCCAGCGTTTCTCATGATGTACTCTGCATATAAGTTAAATAGGCAGAGTGACAATATACAGCCTTGATGTACTCCTTTTCCTATTTGGAACCAGTCTGTTGTTCCATGTCCAGTTCTAACTGTTGCTTCCTGACCTGCATACAGGTTTCTTAAGAGGCAGGTCAGGTGGTCTGGTATTCCCATCTCTGAAGGAATTTTCCACAGTTTATTGTGATCCACACAGTCAAAGGCTTTGGCCTAGTCAATAAAGCAGAAATAGATGTTTTTCTGGAACACTCTTGCTTTTTCGATGATCCAGCGGATGTTGGCAATTTGATCTCTGGATCCTCTGCCTTTTCTAAAACCAGCTTGAACATCTGGAAGTTCACAGTTCACGTATTGCTGAAGCCTGGCTTGGAGAATTTCGAGCCTCACTTTACTACCATGTGGGATGAGTGCAATTGTGTGGTAGTTTGAGCATTCTTTGGCATTGCCTTTCTTTGGGATTGGAATGAAAACTGACCTTTTCCAGTCCTGTGGCCACTGCTGAGTTTTCCAAATTTGCTGTCATATTTAGTGCAGCACTTTCACAGCATCATCTTTCAGGATTTGAAATAGCTCAACTGGAATTCCATCACCTCCACTAGCTTTGTTTGTAGTAATGCTCCCTAAGGCTCACTTGATTTCACATTCCAGGATGTCTGGCGCTAGGTGAATGATCACACCATCGTGATTATCTGGGTCATGAAGATCTTTTTTGTACAGTTCTTCTGTGTATTCTTGCCACCTCTTCTTAATATCTGCTGCTTCTGTTAGATCCCTACCATTTCTGTCCTTTATTGAGCCCATCTTTGCATGCAGTGAAACTAAGCCATGCTGTGTGGGGCCGCCCAAGATGGCCGGGTCATGGTGGAGAGGTCTGACAGAATGTGGTTCACTGGAGAAGGGAATGGCAAACCACTTCAGTATTCTTGCCTTGAGAACCCCATGAACAGTATGAAAAGGCAAAAAGATAGGACACTGAAAGATGAACTCCCCAGATCGGTAGGTGCCCAGTATGCTATTGGAGAGCAGTGGAGAAATAACTCCAGAAAGAATGAAGGGATGGAGCCAAAGCAAAAACAATACCCAGTTGTGGATGGGACTGGTGATAGAAGCAAGGTTCGATGCTGTAAAGAGCAATATTGCATAGGAACCTGGAATGTTAGGTCCATGAATCAAGGCAAATTGGAAGTGGTCAAACAGGAGATGGCAAGAGTGAACATCGACATTCTAGGAATCAGCAAACTAAGATGGACTGCAATGGGTGAATTTAACTCAGATGACCATTATATCTATTACCATGGGCAAGAATCCCTTAGAAGAAATGGAGTAGCCATCACAGTCAACAACAGAGTTCGAAATGCAGTACTTGGATGCAATCTCAGAAACGACAGAATGATCTCTGTTCGTTTCCAAGGCAAACTATTCAATATCACAGTAATCCAAGTCTATGCCCCGACCAGTAATGCTGAAGAAGCTGAAGTTGAACGGTTCTATGAAAACCTACAAGACCTTCTAGAATTAACACCCAAAAAAGATGTCCTTTTCATTATAGGAGACTGGAATGCAAAAGTAGGAAGTCAAGAAACACCTGGAGTAACAGGCAGATTTGGCCTTGGAGTACGGAATGAAGCAGGGCAAAGGCTAATAGAGTTTTGCCAAGAGAACGCACTGGTCATAGCAAACACCCTCTTCCAACAACACAAGAGAAAACTCTACACATGGACATCACCAGATGGTCGACACCGAAATCAGATTGATTATATTCTTTGCAGCCAAAGATGGAGAAGCTCTATACAGTCAGCAAAAACAAGACCCGGAACTGACTATGGCTCAGATCATGAACTCCTTATTGCCAAATTCAGACTGAAATTGAAGAAAGTGGAGAAAACCACTAGACCATTCAGGTATGACCTAAATCAAATCCCTTATGACTATACAGTGGAAGTGAGAAATAGATTTAAGGGGCTAGATCTGATAGAGTGCCTGATGAACTATGGACAGAGGTTCGTGACATTGTACAGGAGACACGAATCAAGACCATCCCCCAAAAAAAGAAATGCAAAAAAGAAAAATGGCTGTCTGAGGAGACCTTACAAATAGCTGTGGAAAGAAGGGAAGGGAAAAGCAAAGGAGAAAAGGAAAGATATACCCATTTGAATGCAGAGTTCCAAAGAATAGCAAGGAGAGATAAGAAAGC